GAGGGGGGGGGGGGTGGGGGTGAGATGGGGGGTATGAGTTATATGGGTTTTAGAATTGGGTCTAAACTACTCTACAAAGAATTTACAGGTCATAATGGCGATCTATGACAAGGGCTGGCTAGCTGGAAGTACAAGACGTGGGGAGGTGTGCATCATCAGTCCATCATATCCATGCAGATTCCACCGCCCTATGAATATAAAAATAGACCGGCAAACAAAAGCACAAATTGCAAAATGTGACAAGTGGTGTATCTGGCGATGAGGCACACTTCTACTTCTCTCACATACACACACACACACCACACATACACACACAAACACCACACATATACACACACACACACACCACACATACACACACACACACCACACATACACACACATACACACGCACACACATGAGAGATCGTCTACGATACTACGCCTCTTCTAGCACACGGGCAAACAGTGGCCGCCGAATAATGGTGGTTGTTCTTGAACAGCACAACTACAACCTGGTATGTACGCAGACGCTGCTATGTGTGTGCTTACTATTGTTTAAAATTTCATTCGTACTACTGCCTCGGCCTACGAACACCGCGAGAGATTCAGCAGGAAAAAACTCCCCGTGCCGATTGTATGACAATGCAACAGTATGAGCAATATATGTGTACTTCTACAAGCGTTTGTATGGACTATATATCACAGGGGGTGCAATAGAATGTGCACCTACCACAATGATTAGGCGTATTGATATATACGAAAAGATCATGCACTGACACGCGTCAGTAAGCGCTTGTACACGTGTACTCGCTACTGTGGTGCACATTATTGACCTTGTGCAGAGTATGAATATACCTACACAACTATCGCACAACACCCTCGCAGTATAACGACCGCGCTTGCACAAGATGGTCTGCTGGTCTTTGCATCTCCCTGAGCACGACGAGAATCCGTTCAACGTTTTAACAACCATTAACATACGTGCTGGCCCGCAACTGCCAGTGTGTGAACACCGTTTGTAACCGACAAGGCAGTGGGGTATGTGAATGAATTATCACACTACAGCTACGACAGACATTGTCAAAGAACGCAGGTGGACTGCACCGAACTCTACCCGGAACTCACAACACGAATCGCCAAACTGGGCTGCTGACCTTGCAGCAACGAGACTTGCACCGTATGGCGCACTGGGTATACAAATATAGGACAGCACGATACCTATGCTCTGCAAATCTTCAATCTGAATCCACAAGTGTACCGTGTAAACGCCGTCATACGATATTGAGAATGCCACACGAGCAACTTCGACTATTGTTTCATACTCGAAGTATCTACTCTGTTACGCGTGTGACTAATAATTG